TCCTTCCTTCCTTCCTTCCTTCCTTCCTTCCTTCCTTCCTTCCTTCCTTCCTTCCTTCCTTCCTTCCTTCCTTCCTTCCTTCCTTCCTTCCTCNTCCCCCCCCCCCCCCCCCCCCCCCCCCCCCCCCCCCAAATAGCTGAGAAGTAAAAGCAGTTACCTCTGTGAAATACTTGGAGAATTCAGGAGGTGTGGTGGGCTAGGGCAGAAGGTTGCTTGTTCTTAGAAGCATTGAATGTTAGCATGAATTTTCAAAAAATGTGGAGAGGTTTTTCTGTTTAGGTTTTTAACTTGTAGTGTTTTTGTTTTGTTACAATGATCTGTAAAGAGATTGACAAATTGAGAGAACAACATAATGAGTCCTTTAACTTTATTATCAACTCATGGCCAGTTTGGCTTTTATCTGTACCTGCATACGTAAGTACCAGAGGATTATTCTGAAGAGTGTCACAATTTAAATCATTTGAGGAGTAAATGGTTTTAAATGCAGCTGTAGTGTCCTTGGTGGGTTTGCTGCTCAGAGCTCCAAGAAAGAACTCTACCATCAACTTCAAGAATTGAGTTAGCCGATAACCTTCTGTAAGCATAGTGTTTGAACCAAAGACTTGTAGGGCCTGTCAGTTTCTGCAGTGTGGTGCTCTGGTTAATTTCTCCACCTGAGTTCAGTATTGTATTGACCAAGACTTACCCAGGTCCCTGAGAACCTTCATGTCTTGCACTTCCACTTTCCTTTGTACACGATAAACCATCATGGTCTACAGTTCCTTATTGCCTAATTATGATCTTTTCTCCATATCTTTTAGAGCTGTCACCCTCATCTTAACATCTGCTTCCTAAAACATCAGCCAGCATAATAGGTAGTAAAATTGATTCTTTTTAGCATTTCTAGGAAAGAACTGACATCAGATCTCAGACTACAATCCTTAAAGGTTTGTTTACAGATCTTAGGAGAATTTTGTTTTATAACTTAGATTGAATATATGCTTTGGGGAGTCTGGAATTTTGATATGCACTGTGAGTCTTATATGGCCAGCTTTTAAGAACTCTGTACTCTCTAATGTGTTGGCATGGTAAAATATTTTGCATGTTACAGTTTGGTTGGAAGAAGCATGTTCTGTGTGGAGCAGTACCTTCAAAGCTTGAATCTGCTTCCTCTGGTCATTCTGTACAGTGGCCATAGATGGACTGTGTTCTGAGGAGTTCTGAGTCTAGTGAATCTCTTGCCTATGGACAAGAACTCTTAACACATAACATAAAATCACAAGGCCTGCATGATGACCACAATAGCAATTAACTTGTCAATGTTCTTCCTATCTCTGTAAAATAGGAGGCCATTGGGATGATACACACCTGTAGTCCCAGCACTTGGGAGGCCAAGACTAGAGAATTGCAAGTTGGGGAAAGGTTTGCGCTACAAAGTAAGGCCCTATCTCAGATCAGCAAAAAACAGCCAAATAAGGAGAAAAACTATTCAAGCTCTTTATTTTTCAAAATGTCTACATTCTGAGTATGTACTTTTTGACAAATGGATGGTGTTGAAACATGCTTTTCAGACTGATGATAAAGTTATGGTACTAAAGTATAACTTTCACATTATAGCTGAGGAAGTAATCCCACCTGAAACAAATTTCTTCTTAATATGAGGCAGAAAATTCATAATTCAAGAATTAAAAAATTGAGTTAGCTGGGTTGGTGGTTCACATCTGTAATCCCATTGTAAGTTCCAGTTAGTGTGGATTACAGACACTGTTTGTAAAAGGAAACAAATCTAACTACTTCATTATACATACACTGAGGAAAATGTCACATTTCTATATTCAGGTTTGACCATTGACCTAGAGGAGAACTGTGGATATAATAGCACTTGTGAAAGAAGATTTCTTCTTGAGGTTTTTCTTTTAGCAACTTATGTTTATTATGTACTATGTACCTTAAAGTTACTAAAATTTTTAGTTTTTAAAACTGTACCAGAGGTGAGGCACTAAGTTCATGGTTTTATGGATGAGGAGTAGTCACAGATTTAGAATAGCTTTCCCAAGGGTACACAATAGCAAAAAAACAAATTGGAACTCTAAACCCAGGCAAGGTAAAAATGGAACATATTTTGAATGAAGACCCAAGGATAGTAAAGAAATAAACATTTTGTTATGAGCTAAAGAAAAGCCACTAAAAGCAGTACCTTTTGAAAGATAATTAAAGGTGGGCAGGGGGGATTTAAGGCTGTCAAATGCTCTTTCTGTTCTGAAGAGAGTGTTTGGATTTCTTCATGGGATTAAGACATGAATAAGTTCCAAATACTTAATCTCTGGTTCTGTATCAACTATCTACTCTTTCCTGTATCAGAACTGTGTCAGGACAAGTCTTTTCTTCCGTCATTTACAGTCTGAACAGAGGCTAATTATTTGGACACTTTGCTAAAGGGAATTATGGCACTGAAGATAAATGAACCAGAATATCTCTGGGGCACCTCACCAATACTGGACTTTCCTTCCTTCGATTAACTGAAATGTAGAGTCTTGATTAAACTGTGTGATTAAAGATCTCATTCAGTATACTCATGGTAGGCAAGTCAGATATGTCGTGAGAGTCATGGGCTTGCATAGTCCTTGTTTGGTTTGGAAAAACCATGGAGCAGCTTCCAGCCTCAGATCAGCTTCAATCTGAACAAGCTACTCTTACTTGGCACAAGGTTAATTTTCTTCCCTTAATTTCTACCTTCTTTCTGTCTTTGTTTTTGAGACAAGATTTCTGTGTGTAATAGTATTGGCTATCCTGAAACTCACTTTGTAGACCAGGCTGGTTTCAAGCACGTATCCTCCTGCCTCTGCCTCCCAACAATCTCTGCCTTACTAATGTTGATTCTCAAGGGTGTAATGAATATTTATGTATTCCTATGGCATATAATTAACTTGACTGGCTGAAAAAAATTTGTGAGTTTAATGTTGAGTCTCATTTCCAGTATTCCTTATTTGGGCCAGGAGTGTAGCATGAGAATGTGTTTCTTAGTGAGTTTGCAGATGGTGGTAATACCCTGGTTTGTATACCACACTTAGAAGCGCCATAACATTGTGGCTCACCTCGGTTGATTGAACACTTTAGGAGTGGAAGCAGTGAATGCTACTCATTTCTTTGTAATCAATAATACACAAAGGCTGCAGCAGGTCCTAATTTTATAGAAGCCTGAGTGTATTTATTGTTTGATTGCTTTCTTTGGCCTGATGATGTCAATAAGATGGGCCTGAAAAAAAATCTAAATGTCTCTATGTAGTGTATGTGGCTGTCCTAGAACTCGCTATGTAGCCTGTCTGGCCTCAAACTCAAAGATCTTCCTGCCTCTGCCTCCCAAATGCTGGGATTAAAGGTGGACACCACCATTCTGGGCTTAAAATAAATTTTAAGGGATTAAGGTAAAGGATTATGTTAGGTTTCTTCCCTAACCCCATGGTTCTACTTCCTGCTACATATAAAATTGTAGGGCTTTGTTTTTTTGGCTTATTTGTTTATTTATTTGGTGTTAAACATTACTAGGAAGCATTACTACATTTAAGAACAATGATTTTAACAGGGATATTCCCAAGGAAATGGAAGCTGTTGGGGCATGTTAGCTAGGTTCATGAATGAAGCAAATGATGACACTTGCTAAACTGGCTCTAAGATTAGGGAGGACCCAACATCAAGGACTGATAAAATTGTAACAATTAAATTTTTTAGACTTTATTTTATATGTAATGAGATTTTGCCTATCTGTATGTCTGTGCACCATCTATTCTCTTGGTGCCCATGAGCTCAGAAGAGGGTTTGGATCCCTTGGGACTGGAATTGCAGGCAGTTTTGAATGGCCAGGTGGGTACTGGGACCCAAACTCTGGTTCTCTGTAAGAGCAGGTGCTCTAACACAGCAGTAAGTGTTGTTTGTGGCTGAGCCCCCTCTCCAGCCCCTGTTGACTTTGTTTAGTGTATATGGATGTTTGTCTGCATATATATCCCTGTATCATGTGTTTGCCAGGTACTCACAGATGTCAGAAGAGGGTGTGGGGATCCCGTAGGACTGGAGTTAGAGATGGTTGTGGGCTATGATGTTAGTGCTAATAATTGAACCCAGGTCCTCCAGTGCCTCTAACCTGATGAGTTATTTCTTCAGCTCCACTGATGTAATTCTTAAACCTAAATATGAGAGAAGAGTTTGTGTTTTAAATACTCCATCTCTTAGCTAATAATCAACATCTTCCTCAGCTTTTAATAAGAATTTTTAACTGCGATAATTAGTCATTAATATTTATAATTTAAGTATCAAGAAAGATAATCTCATTTAGCATATTATAATAGTAATAAGTGACAGAATAAATTCATTACATAAAGAAACCCCAGGATTTGAAGATACGGCTCAGCAGTTAAGAATGCTTTCAGTTTTTCCAGAGAATTTGACTTTGACTCCCAGCACTCACACTTTGAATTGTCAAAACTGTATGCAGCTCTAGCTCCAGGGGATATGATGGCCTCAGCAGGCACCTTCACACATGAGTATATATTGACATATGCATGTACACACAAAAAAAATGAGTCTGTAAAGAAACCCCAACTTAATATGATGATGAATACAAAACATGGGAAGTACACTTGCCTAACACTTTGAAAGCCATGGAAAAGGCCCTGTCCAAGGCTTAGTTGGGTGGGAGAAGAGAGTTCATTCAGGTTCGCGTTTATAGATATTAGCTGTGAGTGTCACAGTATAAGTGAGAAGTATACCTAGTAATAATGGTTGTTGCTGCTTGATTACTTTATAGATATGTATACATTTTAAGGTGTAGTCCAGGCTGATCTCAAATTGATTCTCGTGCCCCCATGTTTTTAGCATATCCTTCCAGCATGTGCCACCACCACCGGACATTTTACTTTTTCTCTCAACTCTGCAAATTATGTCTTTCTATATATTGCATGCAATTTTAGCCTCCTGTGAAAATAATTCTGAACGCTATCGTGTGGTTTCTTTTCCTTTTCACGCAGATATCCAGAAAGTGGTACTCTAGAAATGAATGTTAAGGATCTTCGACCACGAGCAAGAACCACTTTAAAATGGAATGAACTGAATGTTGGTGATGTGGTGATGGTTAATTACAATGTAGAAAATCCAGACAAAAGAGGATTTTGGTATGATGCTGAAATTACTGCACTGAAGACAATCTCAAGGACCAAAAAAGAAGTTCATGTGAAAGTGTTCCTGGGGTAAGGTTTTGTCACTGAGGCCGTTTAGTTATTCAGTTAGAAGTATAATTTTCAGATGTGAAACACATATTTCTATTAAGGAAGATGGGGGTAAAGAAAATTTTCTGTTTTTTAAGAGAATATTTTTAAGACCAAATCTTATCTTCATTGATAAGGTTAATGATAATTTTGGAGAAAGTGTCTTACAAGAAAAGCCTGTGCTTCCTAGAATTCTTTTTTGTTTGTTTTACTGAGACAAGGTTTCTTTATATATATTCTGGAACTCAATTTGTAGACTAAATTGGCTTTAAACTCACAGAAGACCACCTTCCTCTGACTCCCTAGTGCTGAGATTAAAGGTGTGCACCACTACCACCTAGCTTAGAATTCTTATAGATGAAACAATATGCAAAAACATTGAAGAACCATGTTAACATATTCGCTGTAGATGACAGCTTAACCTCTTTTCTAGCTTGTAACTTCGCAGAATTTTCCTCAAATGATAGAGCTGTAGGCATGGTCTTACAGAGAACTCTTACACCTGGCAGTTATCACTACCACATGATACAGTACAGAGTATCTAAATTTTCCTTGTAAATTCTATCTGTATTTATTTCTTTTCTTTATGATGAATATGAAAATGTATGATGTATTGAGCACTGATATATTAGTGTGACATTAACAGATTTTGCTTGTTGAGAGAGCCAAATTTTTATATTTTTCATGTTTTAGTTAACTGGATTAATGGCAAAAGGTGACAGATCTGGGAGCAATCACACATTCGTTTAGCCCACTAGCTGATGTGCTTAGAAATAAAGTTTACTGGAACACAGAAGCACCCCTTGATTATTATCTGTACATCAGCTTTGAGGAACTGCAGCTGAGATTGTCTGGCCACACAACCTAAACTACTTCATGAAAATAGTAACCTGAGATAAGGATAAAGACTATTAGGATATGTTGAAGAAAACTTTTACTTTATTGTTTTCATATTAGAATATTAGAATCAAAGCTCATATTAAAGAAAACAGATTTCAGACCTTTCTACAGAAATACAAGTATGGTTCTGTTACTCAGCTAAGGATGTAATTGATAAAAACCATCCTACAACTCATAATCCCAGGAATCCTAGACAACAAAGAGGACCCTAAAAGAGACATACATGGCTCTGATCTACATGGGAAGTAAAAAAGACAAGATCTCCTGAGTAAATTGGGATTGTGGGGATCTTGGGAGAGGGTAGAAGGGAATTGGGGAAGAAGGAAGGGGAGCAGAGAAAATATGTAGCTCAATATAAGCAATAAAAAAATTTATTCAGATGTTTATACAAATCTGAAGAAACTACCAAAATAACTTGACTGTATAGGGAACTTCATAATATACTTGGCTTCAGTAAATATTTTTTAAAAAAAGGGGGGTATACAACAGGAGATAACTAAACTCATAGCTTTTGAACTTTAAAAAAGAAATGATCTGGGGTAAGTGGCGCACATCTTTAAATTAGAATGTTGAGAGGCATCGACAGGAAGATCTCTGACTTCAAGGCTAACAATAGATACATAGTGAGACCCTATCTCAGAATGAATAAATAAATGAGCAAAAAAAATAAATAATAAATTTATAGGAAAATAAAAATTTGCTATTTTATAAATGATTTCTCTAACTGATCCTAAGTTTGAAAATTACTTCAGTAACTAAACTGAGTAGAAGAATGATGGACAGGCATAGTTTTGATTGGTATAACAGTTGCATTATAGCTGTTTCCATTGTAAAACAGTACTCAGTTCTTACTAAAGTGTTAGAAATATAAAAGCCATGAAAGCAAAGGTGGTTTGAGGATAGGTATTTATTTCACAGTTAAAAATCTTCCTAGAGGCTCGAGATGGCTTTGGACCACTTACTGCTCTTTCAAAGGACAATGGGTATGGTTCTCTATACCCACATGGGCATCTCATAATCACTGTAACTCTAGTTTCAGGGAATCCAGTGCCCTCTTCTGGCTTCTGTGGGCTTGTGCACACATGTAGAATGCTAGGTTAACTAAAGTCTTAACTTTAGTTAAATGATCACCATTCCCTAGAAATGCAAATGTCAAAACCAAGACTGAGAAGTGTTTGAACAAATAGTGTTCTTAAGCAATTGCAAGGAAGAAAAAGAGGGTGTGGGAATCTGTAGATTATATACTAGTAGATGGGTGAAATTATGCCATATGCTAAGGGTGGTAGACAAGCAGTAAGGCTACAGAAAATCATGTTAAATGCAACTCTTGAGAAGATGTGAAGAAATGATTATTGCTGAAGTAGCATGACAGTTCTATCTGCTCTTATCAGTGATGATAACAAAGACTACATACCTTACAGTTGCTTGGGTTATCCATTTATCTGTATAGTTTTAAGTAAATGGATGCTACTTTCTCTTTTAAATAAAAAAGTAGAAGGAAGGCTGGAGAGATGACTCAGTGGTTAAGAGCACTGGCTGCTCTACCCGAGGACCCAGGGTTAATTCCCGGCACCCACATGGCAGCTCACAATTGTAACTCCAGTTCCAAGGGATCCAACACCCTCACACAGAATATATACAGAAAACACCAGTACACATTAAATAAATCTTTAAAAAGTAGTTATGTTGTAGAATTCATTAGAGGGGCCCAAACAAATAAATAAAAGTCTTAAATCTGTGTGTACCTAATAATATGTCTTCCAAATACAAAACAAAAGCTATGATTAAAAAGGATAAAGAGGGCTGGAAAAATAGCTCAGTGGTTATGAGTGGTTGCTGCTCTTGTAGAAAGAAGATCAATTTGAATCCATGTCAGGTAGCTCACAATCCTCCTTTAACTTCAGCTCCAAGGGGACTACTCAATGCATCTAGATTCTGCAGGTACCTGTATTCATGTGCAGTGTTTGCACAAACCTACATATTCACACAATTAATAATGTTTTTAAAGGAGAGACAAGTTCTCAGTCATAGTAGGAAATGGAAGAATGCGCATATAAGTATAAATTAAAGTAACTGTGGCTTCATATTTGAAAAAAAAATATCTAGTAAGAGGCCACCTTATTTTTTCCTAGAAATACCAGAAATATATTTGAATCTTATTTTAAGTAACAGGAGAGCATTTTATATAGTCTTTATGATAAGTCTGTAAAACAGGTACTTCTTACCTAATCTAAGTAATAATAAAGTCTCTTAATTTCTCTTTTCCTGATATTGCTCTAAAATTATTGCTAACTTTGAGGATTACCTACTAAAAGACCGAAGTAATTATGATAGCTATAAGCTCAATCAATTTATAAGTTGGAAAAATAAATTTTCACAATGACCTGTAATTATTATTTTTACATAATTTAAATTTTGCTGATAGAAATTAATGTTTTTTCCTCTTTTTAAACAGGGATTCTGAAGGAACATTAAACGACTGCCTTGTGGTGTTTGTAGATGAAATCTTCAAGATTGAGAAACCTGGAGCCCGTCCTCTTTCCTTTGCAGACGGAAAATTTTTAAGTATGAGTTTCTCCTTTAGGCTTAGATTCAATTTTCTGTGTAATGAAAATTTAGTTTTATTTAATCAATTAATAATTTTGGAGGAGTTATAAAATAGTAGACCATACAAATTTTCTTTATTTAAAGGAAAAAGGATAGTTTGTAGTAGTTATGTTTGTAAAATGATTTTTCAAATGCTTATATATGTTTTGTTTCGTTTAAAAATACGTCTGTGAGAGAGTGTTTACACATGTGTGTCACAGCACACAAGTGTAGAGGTTACAGGACTCTTGGAGTTCTCCCCTTACATCATGTGGGCTATGGGGATTGAACTCAGGTCACCCAGCTTGGCATTAGGTGCTTTTATGTACTAAGCTATCTCTCTAGCCTACGCACTTACTAAACCTCACCTTGGGTTGTTCTTCTCAGTACATTTTGTTTTTCCATTTAAAAATAAGTTATATGCTCTTTCATTGGATTTTCCTTTATGAGAATAATAGATACAAAAAGATAAAACTTCCAAAATTTTGTTCTTTATAGGGAAAAATGACCCTGAGTGTGACCTGTGTGGTGGAGATTCAGATACGAAATGTCACATGTGTTCTTGCCATAAATGTGGAGAGAAACAGGATCCCAACAAGCAGCTTCTGTGTGATGAGTGCAATATGGCGTATCATATCTACTGCCTGAGTCCACCTTTGGATAAAATCCCGGAAGAAGAGTACTGGTACCATCACCGGGTTTTGTCTTTTTCTATTTTAATTACTGTTTTTCTACAAAATGAATCTTCCCAATGTGGATTCACCCCTTCCCCCCATCCCTCCCTCCCTCCTTGCCTCCATTCCTCCCTCCCCCATACCTTCTTCCTTCCCTCCCTCCCTCTTTTTTATTTTCTTCAGATAGTTTCTTATTATGTAGTCTCTGACCGGCCTGGAACTTGCTGTGTAGACCATTCTGGCCTCAAACTGATAGAAATCTGCCCACCTATGTGTCCCAGGTGCTTTGGGATTACAGGACTGGCCGAACATGAATTTCTAAAGATACTTAGTACACTAAAGTATTTAAAATGTCATAGATAGCCATTGCTTAGCACTAATCCCTTTACTCATTTGCTGTAATAACTCTCAGGTGGCTTCTGATTGTATATTTTTTCTTTCTGGTCATGCTCTAGTATGGAGGCATTCGAAAGTGCATATTTGATTATGTCTTTGCTTCAGAGGCTTTAGGTTGCCTTTAAGGAACCTGGAATGTATTAATACATAGTTTTTCCATCTATGTGTCATACTACTTCTCTCCCTTATTTCCCTAAATACTCTATATTCTAGCCATATTCAATTCCCTTTAACTTTGTAAGTCTTATTCTTTTGTTTTGTTTGTTTTCATACTTGAGTCATTTTTTTTCCCCCGGAAACATTTTTCTTTTTGCTTCAGTTTTTCACTTATGCCTAATCAGCCTTTATAATGGCTGTCCACCCTAGTATGTTGGATTTCCTGTTATATTCTTAGTAATTAAATACTTAATGTATATTAACAGTGTTTTATATGTTTTGTATCTCTAATCTTACGGAGTTCTTAAATAGAACAAGGCTCTAATATTAAATATACTTATCACAAACTAAATTTAAATGTGTAGCGATAGTTGGAAACAAACCACTTGCAAAAATTAGGAGAAAAGTACCTAATAAAAATTATATTAAACCTTTAAATAATTACATTGTGGAATCTTTTTTTAAAGTATTTTTTAAATTGTTTGTGTGTTTTAATTATGTTTGCTTTTGTGCATGTGTGCGCGTATACATATGCAATGCCCTCAGTGGTCAGTAGAAGACATTGGAATCCTTGGAGCTGGTAGTACATGCTGTTTTGAGCCTCTTGATGAGGGAGCTAAGAATCAAACTCTGATCTTCCGACAGAGCAATAGTTGTTCTGACACCTGAGCCACTTTTTCGGTGCTCTCCCCCACACATTTTGCTACGTGGAATATTTTTAAGGAAGGGATATAATAGTAAAATAATACTGATGTCCAAGTGAGTGTGATGTGAAGAATAGACCTCTCTTCTTTTCTGTGGCTTTTGAAAATGTGATGGCTGTCTTACTATAGAAACTACAGGGGTAAAAGAAAGGAGGAAAGGGGCCAGTGACGTGGTTCAGTAGAGAAAGACAGTAGGTCAAGGATAACCTGAGTTCAGTCCCTGGGATTCATATAGCAGAAGGACAGAACCAACGCTCTCAAATTGTCTTCTGACCTCCATGTGTGCCATAAATGTGCACATGTGTGCGTGTGTGCGCACGCGCATACACACACACACAATATTTTTAAAGTTAAAAACTACACAATGTAGAAGGGTTTTTGACTTCCTTCTGTTACTTTCTGCCCCTAACTTGCATAATCACATGACTAGTACTGTGCTTCCTTTGAAGTCTCATTTGTTCTTGTTTCAGTGGAAATGTATATAGTGGAAGGAATTTTGGTGCCTTTTCAGGTAGAATTGTTTCAGTTGAGTGAACTAAAATATTTGCATTTTTACCCTACTAGTGTAGATCTCATAATTAGAGTGACTGGGGCATAGATACATCCTTTCCTCTAATACTTACATGGAAGAGATAGTCAGGAAAAGAAAGATACAAATTTAAGTTGGATTAGGGAGTGAATTATATTTTTGTTGGTGTGCTCTTGCCCAGTGGTTCTCAACCTGTGTTTAGTGACCCCATTGGAAAACACAGATATATTTATATTACAATTCACAACAGTAGCAAAATTACAGTTATGAAATAATAATAAAAATAATTTTAGTTTGCATAATTTTTTATTCTTGGGGAATTTTATCTCATGCACCCCAACTCCATTCACTTCGCAATCACGTTGTATCTGCCATTCATTCTTGTAGCTTTCCCCCAAATGGAAACTTAATAATAAAAATAAAAAACAAAAATACAAATAAGAATATTAATTTTAACAACAACAGAAAGCAAGCCCCCCAAAAAAACACTTTGCTCCTTTATCTTTCCCATCTCTCCTTTGCTTCCTCATTCATCTTAGTGGCATTGGGAGCTGCTCTGTATCACACAGTGAACCCTTATGTTCAAACAGACAACTTTACTTGCAAGTATTCATCGTGTAATGTGTTGTTGGCCAAGCCCTCTGGCTTCTGCTATACCATCATCACTGGACCCTCACCAAAACTCCTCTCAGATATTCTGCTGTTGCCCTGAGTCATGGAGATCCCGTGGCTATGGTTCCATAGGACCAGCCTCTAAGAAAAATAATTTTATGGTTGGGGATCACTACAATTTGAGGGACTTTATTAAAGGGTCACAGCATCAGAAAGATTGAGAAACACTGTTGTAGACTTTCCAGTTTTTGGTAGCAGAGTAGCCTTATCTCATTCTGTAGACCTGGTTTTAGAGAAAGAGTAAAGCAGCTTTATGAGAAAGGACAGACAAGTACAAAACTGAACTAGATCTAGACTTGCTGTCCTGTAAACCCGTTTATAGTGCACTAGACTTTTTTGGTGTTGAAATTTTCTGTCAAAGAACTATACCATACACACACACACATTCTGCATTTCATTTTTTTATTGTGTGTTAATTACAAGTGTGTGTGTTTGTGTGTGTGTGCGCGCGTGTGTGTGCATGTGTGCGTACCACAGTTCAAGAATGGAATTCAGAGATCAGCTTGAGGGAACCATTTCTCTCTTTGCACCATGTAGGTCCTGGGGATTGAACTTCGGTTACTTGGCTTGGTGGCAAGCACCTTTACTCACTGAATTATCTCACTGGCCTCTTGTATTATTTTTTTATTATGAGAATTCTAATAACTAAATTAGATGGAAAGATGTATCCATTGCATATTTTGCTATTGTACCTATAATTCTTTCTCCTTTGATTTTTATAATAATTTCAAATGAATGTTTTATTTTATTAGCGCTAGTAAAAATTGTGGTAGCATTTGAATCTTAGACACACACATATACCATGATTTTGAATTGAGTTTCAGGGTGCATAAAACAAAATTTTAGGGCTGGAGAAATGGCTCAGTGGTTAAGGGCACTCACTGACTGCTCTTCCAGAGGATCTGGGTTCAATTCCCAGCACCCACATGGCAGCTCACAACTGTCTGAAAATCCAATTCCAGGGGATATGACACCTTCACACAAATGCACATAAAATAAAGATAAATAAATCATAAAAAAATTTAAAAAATCTTAAAGTTCTCTAAAAGTGAAACAGAATTTTTTTTTTAACTCTCAGCTTTATCACGTGGATATTTTTGAAATGTTTAAAATTTCGGTGACAGTTGATACTCTCTATTGTAACCCAATATGTCCTAGTTCTTGTTCTGATGTAGAAAGACCATTAGTCTCTCACTGCTTTCAGTATGATGTTACCAAATATTCTTTGTTCTTTTTTATTCCTTTAAGGTATTGTCCTTCTTGTAAAACTGATTCCAGTGAGGTTGTAAAGGCTGGGGAAAGACTCAAGATGAGCAAGAAGAAAGCAAAGATGCCTTCAGCTAGCACAGAAAGCCGGCGAGACTGGGGAAGGGTAAAAATGAAACTCCCTCTCAGTTTCCTACTAACAATTCATAGTTAAATAGTGTCTCAATATTGGTAGTGGTAGTATAAAAGATTAAACAATTTAATTGTTATTGTAAGTGATAATTCAGTTGTATAAAAATGATTTCATTGATCCAATTATTTTATTTGCATCTTATGTGAATTGGAAATCTGTTGATGGAGACTTTGCTTTCATTTCCCAGTTTCCCAAACCCAAATGATCACACAAAAAAACTGTATTAATTACTACACTGTGTGGCCCATGGCTCAGGCATATTCCTAGCTAGCTCTTACATCTTAAATTAACCCATTTCTATTCATCTGTATATGGTCACAAGGTTGTGGCTTATAATGTTCTGGCATCTTTGTCCTTTAGTGACTACATGGCGTCTCTTTAACCCTGCTTACTCTTTCTGTGTATCTCTTTTTGGATTTCCAGCCTGGCTTTACTCTGCTAAGCCGTTGCCCAAAACAGCTTTACTCATTGACCAATAAGAGCAACACACACAGAAGGACATCTCACATCAGAAGTCATCAAAAAATTTTACCTAATTGGTTTTCAAACAGCTTATTTTGTGACTTACAGGGAATGGCTTGTGTTGGCCGTACAAAAGAATGTACGATTGTCCCCTCAAATCATTATGGACCTATCCCTGGTATTCCTGTTGGGTCAACTTGGAGATTCAGAGTTCAGGTATGCTTTGAAATTGGTTTAGTGGAAAGGGTTAAATTCATGTAATTAAAGTTGAAGTGATGCTAACATTTGTTTTAAATTACAAATGGGTCTCAGCTTAGGAGCACATGTCATTCACATGTTAGAATGTCTTTCCCAGACATAATCAGACAGAAGAGCCACCATTAGAGTAGGCATTAGTTGTCTTAGTTTTCACTTTGTTTTATTGTTCTGTATGGGACTGGTAAGCTTTTAGGAAAATTAATATTTAAAGTAATTTTAGGTTATGTGATAAATACTTATTTGATTTAGACTTACTTTTAGACCTTTTCTTTGAGACTTTTCTTGAATAAATATTAAGCTATTGAGGCATCTAGTGTGTTATCCAGTACTAAAATTCTTTAACTTTCCTCACCTCTTCTGCCTCTTATGTTCTTTCCATCACTTCTTTGGCAATGTTCCTTGCGTCTTGGATTGGGTAATATATATATATGTCCTACTTATGACTGGCCATTCAAATTCCTATTGCTTTGACCATTAGGAGTGTCTGCAGTGAACACTAGCTACTGCAGAAAAGAAACTTACATGACAAAAGCCAATAGCAGCAATAATCTGTGGGCATAAGTACAGTTATTTAGAAGACAATTTAAATTTGATGCATCGTGTGTATGTAGCAAAACAACAGCAGCTTCTCTGATAGGGTCTTTGACCTCCCAAACCATATGCTTTTGACCAGCTTTATAATGTCAATAATTACAGTTTTCTGATACAGCTTGCCTATACTGCTAGTCTTGCTAGATAGCCTGTTGGGGATTTCCTGTCTGCCTTCTGAGGCAGGGGTTACAGGCAGACCACTATACCTATCCAAACTTTGGTCTTGCTTATATGGCACTAAGCCATCTCCCCAGCCCAACCAAAAACTACCCATATAAGGACTCTTCTAAGCCATGTATGGTGGCTCATGCCTGTGACCCCAGTACTAGGAAGGCAAAGGAAGAATAATATGATGCAAATTAAAGGCCAGCCCTGATATACATACTGAATTTGATGCCAATCATGGCTACTTTGTAAGACTCTTGTCTAGGAATAAACATAAAAAGGATCGTTCTGTTGATGATAGAATGGATTAGAACGGAGCAAAACAAGACAGTGTAGAAGGATCTGTTAGTGTGGAGGTCCCAAAGCAAGATTTGGGGCTAGAACTGGGGGAAAAATCCAGCACCTTCAGGATTTATTTGGGAAAATTAAAATGAGAAAGCAAACTCTAGGTGAAACATAATTGGGCTTTAGATTTTAATAATACATATGGAAGCATTTTGTAAGGCTAAACCCATTGTTACTTTTACATTTATTTTCATAATTTTATACATATAGAATGTACTTTGATCTTACTTTTCCTTTACCTTATAGGTGAGCGAAGCAGGTGTTCATAGGCCTCATGTTGGTGGCATTCATGGTCGCAGCAATGATGGGGCTTATTCTCTCGTGCTGGCTGGAGGATTTGAAGATGAAGTTGTAAGTGATGATACCATCTTTAGAACCTATCTTGATCATTCATAAAGTACAAAAGTTGTGTCTAAAATGCATAAAAAGTCTTCTTAAACATAGTTTTTGTTGAAAAGATTGATTCTATATAAGTTATAGGATGTAGCAGTGTCTGTTTTTTACATATGTTGGTTTAGCCTATACAGTTGGTAACTAACAGAATTTTATACTCTTTGGAGCTTATCTTTTTAGTAAATTAAGCCTATTTTTAAATGTAGATTCACAATTAATAGCATTAGAAACGATATGCGTCCTTCCCCAAGAGTTCATTTTGCTGAGTTGTTTACCAGATACTATCACAGCCAGGATCTTGACTCCACAGTCAGGATGCCAAATGCTTCTGCTCTCAAGATTTTGTTGTTATGTTGTCCCCAGGCCCTCTAACCCTGATAACCACTGATCTGTTAGCCATTTGTATAGCTTTGTCACTTCAGCAAGTTTTATGCATTGATCATGTAGCCTGTAATTTGGGGTATAGATTTTTTTGTGTGTGACTCAGCATGATTCTACGGTGTGTACTAGTAGTTCAGTCTTGTTTATTTCTGAGTCTATAGTATAAATATATCACACTTTAACCATCTACCTAGTAAGGAGTACCTGGTTTACTTTCAGTTTTTAACTATTACAGAGAATACTTTAGTCAACAGTTGTATACATCGCTTATGTCAAGAAGTGCAATTTCTGGGTCATACAATATTATATGTTTGTTTTACAGGCATGGTAGAGTGTCATGAGATGAATTAAGGCTATATCTAGATAGCTTTGAAGTAATAATTAGGTGGGGGGGGGTGAGGATGAAGTTGCTGGTCTGTGCGACTAGGCTTGATAGCATGAATTTGTACAGTAGTCTGTTTTTAGGTAATTCCTTTAGCAGATTGTGAGGTAGAGTAGAAATTGGAAAATTGTGGGATGAGAATGTAGCTTCATGGTAGAGTGCTTGCCTTGAACACACAAGGCTATGGGTTTGTTAGCAGGGTGGGGTTATGGGAAGTTCTATTTCTTGGTGGTGGCAGCCTTATATGGTTGAGCAGGCATAGCTTTGTGTGTACTCTTCCTAGGCAGTAGCCGTGCACAAGCCACTTCATGGTCCAGAAAACACAACAAATCTAGGCTGATTTTTTTTTTCCCCTTTTGCTTTAATAGAAAGCTTTTGTTAGCATAATGATTGAAGTGCAAATGTGTTGGTGGTATAGTTTAGAATTTTAGCCATTATTTGGTTGTTAGCTGCTTGAAGAAGGTTCAGGTTTATTTTTCTTCTGCTTCAATCACTGTTTAGCTTAGATTGTGCCTATTCTGTTATGTGCTCACTACTTTTTTTGTTATAGCACTTTCATTATTACAACTTGAAAACTTGATTATTATGAATTTGGGTATTCTGGAGTTAATCCAGAAACAATGTGAAAGAAAGATTGTTTCTTGTCAATTTAGGAAGTATTTTAGTAGGGCATGGTGGCACATGCCTGTTTTCCCAGCACTTGGGAGGTAGAGGCAAAAGGATCAGGAGTTCAAGGTCATCCTCAGCTACACAGTAATTTTGAAACCAGCCTGAGATTTGTCTCAAAAACAAGTAAAAGACAGAAGGAAGTAAGGAGGGAGGGAGGGAAGGAGGAAAGAAAGAAGGAGGGAGGGTGCATGCTCTGGGCCATTGTGGATATGTTTGTTATTGTGTTAATAAAGTGGCTTCTTAGTTATAAAAATACGTTGGAAAAGATCCACATTGCATTGATTTTTAAATACTAATGTCATTCTTACTACTTCGGGATACAAATGGAATACACTGTACTTTAAAAAATAGAGATGTTAAATATTTCAAAACCTAATATTAGTTGAAGGCTTGGGAAACACTTGTTTGTTCATTGATTCATTCATAGACAACATCATGCACTGTGTAGCCCAAATCGGCCCCTTATTTTACCTAGTCTTCTTTCTTCACGCTTCCTAGTTTTAGGGTTACAGCATGCCCCACCATGCTTGCCTCAGAAAAACACTTAGAATGCACAGTTTCAGTTAGGCTTTAATCCAAGGGAAAAACAGTATGGAAAGTAAGTAACCTTCAAAGAAGAATTTAATAGGGAAAAAACATCATTGTCTTAGATTTATCTTGAGTTTACAATTAAAAAAAAAAAAGTCCTGGGCTAGTGGGTATTCTTTTACCACCAGACCTGGCGTCCTGAGTTAGATCCTAAGGACTCACACGGTAGAGGGAGAGAACTGACTCTGTGAGTTGTCCTCTGACCTCCACACACGGGCTGTGGCACGTATATGCCCCACCAGCCAAATAAATTAATGGTAATATAACTTAAAAAGCCAGATAACTAGCCAGCTAGTATTGCTAGAATAAATTATAGACTGACAATTTTCTGGAGTTATTTTGCACTTTGAATTGGTTAAGATTTAGTTGTACCTATATAAATTTGTAGCTACTACAGAAATTATTGGGTTGTAGGGTTTTCTAACATCCCTTTTGGGCATAGTTATCAAATTTAATAGGTGTTGAATACTACATTTAATTTTCAAATTATTTTCCAGGCTTACATTACTAATAGTAGTAATGCACATTTTTTAAACCTAAGTATATCATGAATGAATTCATATTATGAAATACACAAAATTACTATGTTATTAGAACTCGAAGGTGAAGCTTTTGTGTAAACTTAACTTTATAAAGTTTATTTAATGTCCATGTCAAATATGAATGTTCATCAAAAAAATTCTGTACGATGTAGATGCCAGGCAAGAATTCCATCATGGAATGTTTCTGAAAGTGATACTGTTGATAGCGAACCTGCAAGCTAATGTTGATACGTCAGTTACTATTGCATTAAATGAAATGTTTCTAGCCCATAAGCCCTTACTTTGTAAAATGTTGTCTACAACTTAGATACACACATGAGAATAACTGTGTTTGAAGATAATGGAAACTAGAACTTTGAACCAAAATCTTTAGATCAAGTGATAAAACTTGAAAGTATACTACACACATTATTACATTTTACTTTATTTTGGTAAATTCTCTGAGAAACATGTCAATAACATCTTAGTTGTGACTAAAATGAGAATTGGTAAAATTACACTCAGGTTTAAGCATTTTACCCTAGGGGCTGGAGAGATGGCTCAGTGGTTAAGAGCACTGGCTGCTCTTCCAGAGGTCCTGAGTTCAATTCCCAGCAACCACATGGTGGCTCACAACCATCTGTAATGAGATCTGGTGCCCTCTTCTGGTGTCTGGGCATACATGGAGGTAGAATGTTATATACATAAGAAATAAATCTTTTTAAAAAAAGCATTTCACTCTAAACAAATCTTTCCCTCTAGGACCGAGGTGATGAGTTCACGTACACTGGAAGTGGTGGTAAAAATCTTGCTGGTAATAAAAGAATTGGTGCACCATCGGCTGATCAAACACTAACAAACATGAACAGGTGCTGTTCTAAAGACTGTATGATCTGGGGGTTACTGAAACTTAGATCCTATCAGGATAACTTGTCATTTCAGCTGCAGGGCAGAATCTTCAACTAGGAGTTACACGACATTAAAATTCCTTTGGTCATTTTGTTAATTTTTAAGTGGCATTATTATCCCCTTAGTTGATACATGTGGTATATTGAAACATGTTGACATTTCTTCCTTTGAAAGAAAGGAAGTTATATGATTTAAGTGAAATTGCAGATAAGGTGAATAAGTCCAAAAACCAAAGTGATGCTCTCCTTGACACTTTTATCTTTCCTGTACAAGTTTGTTTTAGAGGTGACTCACTAATGTGAACTAGCCTTTTGAGAATAGGAAAGTGAAATGTCAGGTAATTTAATCAGTCTGCATTCTAAGCACTTTTAGAATTTGTATTAATAAAGTGACTTCTTAGTTATAAAAACACGTTGGAAAAGATCCACATTGCATTGACTTTAAATACTAGTGTCATTCTTACTACTTCGGGATACAAATTTTCATTTTTAAATATTTAATTTTATAAATGCATGCTGATGTTAACAAAATAACTGAAACCCTAGATAGCAAAGATAGCTTTATAACTTGTCACAGTAAAAATTTTGTAAACTATATAAAAGTTAAGAATTTTTATATCCTATAAAGAGTATTTTAGCGTTGAGTAAAAATGATTATTTTTGCACTTTGAATAAAAGGCACTGAGTTTTAAATATTGTCCCTTTACCTTCTTATTACTGTGTCAAGGAAAGAATATACCAGTATTATTTCAAGACTTTACTCTATACCAGGATACATAGAATCTTGGTTTCATGTCTTGTATATTATTTCTGACAGTAGAATTATTTTACTGAACTAGCAGAGGAGACACATCAGTTGTACTGGTGAAATCACAATCCTAAAATAGGAGTATAATCCTTGCTATCCTTTTCCTACAAAGAAGATAGCTCTTTAAGAAGAATAACTTAGACGTCAGAAATAGCCTGACATGTTTTTTTTTTCAGTGAACCTGCATCTTAAATTGATAATAACATTGTATGGAGGTTTTAGGAATCCAAACTTAGGTCCTCTTACTTATAAGGTGGCAGTTTACCTACTGAGCCAACTCAAATTTTAACCCTATGTGTTAGCAATGTTTTTCCTTCACCGAGGTTAGGAATATCCCAACTTGAATAGATTGCGCTACATTTAGAACTAGATATTCATCAAAAGTTCTTATAACATCTAATATAGTCACTGATTTACCACTGTATGCTAAGGAGGATTTTCTGCCAAAACATGCTCCTTCTGCACAGTGGTCCTCCTTGTTGTGTGTAATCAATAAACCATAGCAGTCTCAGGGAACCTAAGTTCTTCACTGTCAGGATTTCCCTGGCATTTTGATGCAGTTGAGTTTATCCTTCTGTGGAAGTCTTCAGAGAATATGCTCATGTCACACTTGTTCTTAATATCCTTTAGACTTTTCAGAATTTTTACTGTCTGGAATGTGAAAAATCTAGAAAAGCTGTTCTTTGCTGACAAATTTATTTTTCTGGATTTCTTTCTACATTATTCCAGCAATTTACCTCATTTCATCAAAAATTGACTTTTAAAGCAATCACTTACTTTAGTTTCCCAACATTCTCCCTTTTCTCAACAAACATCTTCAGCAGATTCCATGTATTTCTAGTTGTTCTCTATTATACGTGGCACAGATGTTATTACTTTCAGAAGAACCCTACAGGCTATCTGGGAACCAATCCCCTGGCTTGGGGGTGACATCAGAAAACTGATTTGTCTTCTCTGCTGGTGGGGGAAAGCATAATCCTATTGTCTGGAATAATGTGGAAAGAATCATAGGATCTAAATCATCAGGTAAGGCATAATTTACTTTTTAATTGAGCTAATGACTCAGTTATATGCTTAAAGATTGCTTGGTATAAAGACTTTTTTTATTTTTTTTAGGGCATTGGCCCTAAACTGTGATGCTCCATTGGATGATAAAATTGGAGCAGAATCTCGGAATTGGAGAGCTGGTAAGCCAGTCAGAGTGATACGCAGTTTTAAAGGGAGGAAGATCAGCAAATATGCTCCAGAAGAAGGCAACAGATATGATGGCATTTATAAGGTGCTCTATCTGGCATGACATCTCCTTGGTCATTCTGGGGCTTTTAAGACATGTTTACCACAAGGAACTACTCTGGGTGGGCTAGAGAAAGGATAGGCTGGTTCCGATGGCATTTCTGCTCTTCCACAATGTAAACGATAGATGAAGTGAACTCTTAACTTCAAGATTTTGAAAAATGGCTTTGAGAGCTCCTAAGGCAGAGTTACAATTTGGGCCCCGGTGGCTTTCTTTCTGTTTTTTTCTTGTTTGGTACTGATGGGGCTCTAATCCATGATTTGTGCACACTGGGTGAGCGCTGCACTCTAGACCCAAGGTTTCTATATTTAGTATGTAGTCTGTATGATAAAACCATGTAAGTAGTTTGACCATTATATATCTTGGTTACTATGTATCTTTAAAATCCTTTTAATTTTAATAATTACAATAGATTTTTGAAAGCAGAATACATACAATATAAAAATGTATTTGTATCCTTATATATAGAATAAACAAATCAGCTACCACCATTTTTCTCTGCCTAATTTGCAAAATTCTGTTAATTTGTTACTGTGTTAAGTTTATAGAATTATTTCCTTATGTAAGAACTAGATTAATAGAAAATAAGCTCATAACAATGTATTAATAATATTCTTGACTTATTTACTGTTCTTATGATAAAGCTAATATTCTGAAGTTGCATTAATTAAAGCAGATTTATTGAAACTATTAATATGATAGTATCATGGTTAGTCTAAACTTTAAATATCAATGTCATGTATAGGTAGTGAAATACTGGCCAGAGATTTCATCCAGCCATGGCTTCTTGGTTTGGCGTTATCTTTTAAGAAGAGATGATGTTGAGCCTGCACCTTGGACCTCAGAAGGAATAGAACGATCAAGGAGACTGTGTCTGCGATTGCAGGTTAGACCTTGGTCTGCACTGTTCATGTGCTAAAAGAATTTACAGTTATCTCTGGGCTTTTAACAGACTATCATCATGTTACTGTGTGACTATGCTCGGGAAAATCTGGACTTGTTAGTGAAAAGCAGAAATTTTTTTTGTTTTCAAGTTTTTTAATTCTTCTCTCATACATTGCATCTCAATCACAGATTGCCTTTCCTCCATTCCTCTCTGTGCCCTTTCCCCCAGCACACATCCCTTCTTCCCCAGATCTACTCCATTTTTCAAAAACGAACGAACAAAAAACCCACAAGCTTCCCAGGGATATCAACCAAACACATCAGAACAAATTACAATAAGGCTAGCACAAACTTATATCAGAACTGGGAGGGGCAACTCAGTAGGAGGAAAAGGGTCCCAAGAACAGGCAAAAGAGTCAGAGACATCCCCCTCTGTTAGGTGTCCCAAAAGAACACCAAGCAACACAATCATAAGTTATATGTAGAGAACCTAGCTAAAAACTCAGGCTATTGATTGTTGATTGAGAATCTGAGCCCCCTAGAACCGTAGTTAATTGATTTTTGTGGCCTGTGTTCTTGTGGTCTCCTTGACCCCTCTGTCTTCCTACAGTCCTTCCTCCCCCCTCTTTGGCAGGATTCCCATGGCTTCACCTCATGTTTGACTGGGATCTCTGCATCTGCTCCCATCAGTTGCTGGATGATGCCTCTCTGATGTCAGTTGTGCTAGGCACCAATCCATGAATATAGCAGAATATCATTAGGAATAATTTCATTGACATTTTTTTTTTTTCTTTTTTGCCAGTCATGTTTGACTTCTGATTCCTGACCTCCCAGGCAGTGTCAGACGTGGGTTTTCGCTTGTGGCATAGACCTCAAGTTGGACTTGTAATGGGTTGGCCACTTCCACAAGTTGTGTACCACCATTACCCCAGTGCATCTTACAGGCAGGACATATTGTAGGTCAAGGTTTTGTGGCTGGGTTGATGTCTTGAGTCCCACTGCTGGGAGCCTTGTCTGGTTATAGAAGGTGGCCAGTTTGGGCTCTGTATCCCCCATTACTAGGAGACTTCATTAGAGTCTCTCCTAGATTCCAGGAAGTTTCTGTTGCTGTGAGTTTCTGCACTGCACCCCCATACCCCTCAATTCCAGTCACATCTCCCAGTACCCTCTCCCTCCACCTCCACCACCTGAACCTTCCTGTTCCCATCCGTACCTGTCCTCAATCTACCCATAAAAATCTGTTCTATCTCCCCTTCCCAGGATTTGATGCATTACCTGTCCCCTCCTTGAGCCCTCGTTACCCAGACTCTCTGGGTCTGTGGATTGTAGTATGATTATCCTCTGTTTAATAGCTAATGTTTACTTATCAATGAGTGTATGCCATGTTTGTCTTTCTGGATCTGGGTTACTTCTCTCAGATTATTTTTTTTCCTTGTTCCATCCATTTGCCTGAAAATTTTATGATGCCATAGTTTTTAACAGCTGAGTAATACTTCATTGTGTTAATGTACCACATTTCTTTATCCATCCTTTGGTTGAGAGACATCTAGGCTGTTTCCCAATTTCTGACTATTAAGAATAAAACTGCTATGGGCAGAGTTGAGCAAGTGTCCTTGTGGCAGAGCATCCTTTGGGTGTATGTTCAAGAGTGGTATAGCTGGTTCTTGAGGGAGATCATTTCCCAATTTTCCGAGGAATTGCCATATTTCCAAAGTGGCTGTACAAGCTTGCACTCCCACTAGCAATGTTTGAGTGTTCTTGGTCACATACTTGCCAACATGTGGCAACTTGTGGTTTTGATCTTAACCATTCTGACAGATGAAAGATGGAATCTCAAAGTAGTTTTGATTTGCATTTCCCTAATGAGTAAGGATGTTGAACATTTCTTTATTTCTCAGTTGTTGGAAATTCCTCTGTTGAAAATTCTCTGTTTAGATCTGTATCCCGTTTTGGTTTTGTTGTTGTTGTTGTTGTTTCTGGTTTTTTGAGACAGGGTTTCTCTGCAACTTTGGTGCTTGTCCTGAAACTCACTTTGTATACCAGGCTGGCCTCAAACTCAGAGATCCACTTGCCTCTGCCTCCCAAGTGCCTGGGATTAAAGGTGTGCACCACCGCCGCCTGGCCTGTATATCTCCCCCCCCCCCCTCTCTCTTTTTGAGACAGGGTTTCTCCATAGCTTTTTGGAGCCTGTCCTGGAACTAGCTCTTGTAGACCAGGCTGGCCTCGAACTCCCAGAGATCCACTTGTCTCTGCCTCCCAAGTGCTGGGATTAAAGGCGTGCACCACCACCGCCCGGCTCCTGTATCTCATTTTTAATTGGACTTTTTGTTGGTTGATATCTAGTTTATTGAGTTCTTTATATATTTTGGATATTAGCCCTCTGTTGGATGTGGAGATGATAAATTTTTTCCCATTCTGTGTAAAAAAAAGAAATGATATTCATAGACAAGATGAAAATGGCTAAGATATAGGATGTATCTACCATTAGATCATAGAAAGTTAACAGTTTCATTTGGGTTTCAAAAATATCCTTCCGGGGGCTGGAGAGATGGCTCAGCGGTTAAGAGCATTGCCTGCTCTTCCAAAGGTCCTGAGTTCAATTCCCAGCAACCGCATGATGGCTCATAACCATCTGTAATGAGGTCTGGTGCCCTCTTCTGGCCTTCAGACATACATGCAGACAGAATATTGCATACATAATAAATAAATAGATATTTTTAAAAAATCCTTCCATCCATAGTTTTGGGGGATGAGAAATTTGGCACTCCTTTTTTGTTTGGGATTGGAACTACCATTTTCATCTTGTCTATGAATATCATTTCCTGTGCTCCATATTTTATCTCCACTTCATATCTAGTTTTTCTTTTTTTAAATTTTCAAGATACCAACAAAGCATGTGAAAATTTTCTTCTCTTAGATCTGAAGATAAGATCAGTAAATTATAAAGCATTGTAACATTTCACCCTATGAAATTTAAATAAGCATTTTCTTTTTACACCCCTCATCAGTATCCAGCAGGTTACCCATCAGATAAGGAAGGGAAGAAGACAAAGGGACAGTCAAAGAAGCAGACCAAAGAAGCCACCAAGAGACCAGCTTCAGATGGTAAGTGGCGATGTGGAGCATACATATTAATAGCACATTTTCATATAGAGAGCCTAAATTGAGGGACTCAAACAATTATAATAAAAGGATTTTGTGGGGGTTTTGGTTGTTTGTTTTCTGAGGGGACCGGTCTCTTTAGTAGAGTAATAACTATATCAGCAAGTATCCTGGACTTGAGAGGATGCTGTTCCATCGCTCATCTTCCTTCTAAACATTGTTACAGTTTCTAAGCAGAATCGTTCAAATCTACTGACAGAGTTTATAACTATACCTAGATGAGTGTCCAAGTGCCTCCAAAGTGCTGAAGACATCTGAGTCCACAGAAGCAGTAGAAGCCTTTCAACTCAGCCCTCAGCAGCAGCGCCTGATCAGAGAAGACTGTCAGAACCAGAAGCTATGGGATGAAGTGCTTGCATCTCTTGTAGAAGGACCGGTAAGTAACTGGAGACTTTTCTCTGTCCTGCTCAATCCCCCTTAGCTGCTTATAAAAAATCATTTTGAGGCTTAATATTCTAATGGTTTGGCTGATGACTCAGGCTTTTTACTGACTAACTCTACATTTATAAATCATCCCATTTCTAATAATCTGTGTATTGCCACATGCCCATGGCTGCTGGCTTCTCCTCTCAACCCCGCCTTCTTTTTCCCTGTATCTCTGCTTGGATTTCCCACTTGGTTCTATTCTGCTTGGCTGTTGGCCAAATCACCTTCTCTATTAACCAATGGTAATAAAACATTCACAGCATACAGAAGGGCATCCCACATCACCGGTATAACATTTTTCTTCAATAATGATGCTCTGATATTAATAATGGAAATTGGTTTTCTCAAGTCAGTCTAAACTGTATCTTACGTAGTTTTCTAATCAATTTCCACCACCTTTCAGAACTAACAGGAGTCAGTAAATTTAAACACCTGTAAATTTACTTTAAACTTCTAAGATACTGGTTTTTAATCATGAACTAATTAACTTACATCAAGGTACTCTTTTTGGGAAGAATTTTCACTTGTAAAACTTAATCAACTGAATCTAAAACTCAGCTGAAAGATTTCTATTATATTATAGTTCAGAGATCACTAATAGTGTAAGTCTTAAATAGTTGTTTGATTTTCAAAACTTGTGTGTTCAGCTTTTAAGTAAGCAAACCAGTCTTGATCCATTCAAATGTTTTTCATCTGCAATTAGAAAGGTGGCTCCATGGTTAAAAGTGTGTTCTCTCACAGAACACCCAGGCCCAGTTCCTAGCACCCAGGTTGGACAGCTTACAGCCACCTATAACCTATAATTCCATCTCTGGGGGACCATTGCTCTCTCCTGGACCCTTACAAGCACCTTCCTTCACACATGCATAGATACCCCACCTCAGTACACATACAAATACACACATAATTTTAAAGATTTTCTAATCTAGTTTTTTTTCTTGGTTTTGTAATCATTAAATTTTAAACTGAAGCTGAGCCTAGTGGTATATTCCTTTAATCCCAGCACTCAAGAGGCAGAGGCCTTTGAGTTTGAGGCCAACCTGGTCTACAACATTATCAATTTCCAGGACATCCAGGGCTACATAGAGAGACCCTGTTTAAGAGGGGGTGGGGGAGAGCTAACAAGGTTAATGTGTAAATTCCATGTTAAGCTGAGTTCACCAAATCAAAAGCTTCAAATGAGAGCTATTTCCTCATTTGATTTATTGTATCTCCTATTTTGTTTGTTAATTTGATCTCTCGAGTGTAATGTAGTTTTATATCTTTCTTTCTAAAGTAGTATTATGGTAGCTGTGAGTGAGCTTTAAGTAAATTATATTTTGCCATCTCTAATTTTTCCTTTTACTGTTGCGTTTATTTCCTTTTTTGCAACAGCTAAAATGTCTCATGTGTCTAAAAGGAGTAAAATAAAGGGTATCTGTGCCCATCTAGCCTGGAAGGCCTCCTGTGATTGTTTTACCTTTTTTGTTGAGAACCATTATTGTATTAAGTGTATTAGAAAAGGTTATTAAATACTGTTTGGCTTTATATCAGAAATCTATGTGATTGATATCTTGAGTTAGTCTTGATAAGGTGGGGCTTAGATTTTGTTTTTTAAGTATCCTGGGTATGGTAATTTTGTTCTGTGAGAGGTATTACTTGTTTTTTAGACAAGGGACTCAGCTATAAAGAGAATGAGGTCCGACTCATTTCCCTTGGGCTACACAGAATACATCAGTTGTTAAGCATGACTTAGATGAACAGTTAGATTTCTTGGGGAAGATATGGCTGGTTAGTGGTAGATAACTTCAGTGAGCTCCAGATAAGGATGGGAAGGGACAAAGTAGCAGATACTACTGCAGTGAGAGAAGCCACCTGAGTGAACAGAAATGTGTGGGCATTGATGTCCTACTCTTAACAAGACCTGACATGCCTCATCCAGCTGTTATGACTTGAAGCTGGCAGTTAGTCTGAACATGTAGTGACATATTCTTTAGTGTATCACATTAATGCTTTATTTGTAATTGAGTTGATTTAATATGAAGACATCTTTTAAAATGTAACGTTTATTGATGTTTGAAGAGCTTGTAAATTCTTCCCATTAGTGAAAAAAGAATCCTTAAAGAGTATCTATTATTATTATAAAAAACATATGATCATCTTTATGACTGTTGGAAAATCACCCTTTTCTAGTTTAATAGACACAAACAAGCCAAGCATGGTGGTGCATAGTTTAATTCTAGCACACAGGCAGAGTCAAGCTGATCTCTGAGTTCCAGCCCAACCTGGGCTACATAGTGAGTGAGACCTTTCTCAAGAAGAAAGGAAGGAAGGGCACACACATCCAGGACAAATTGGAACTAATGATAGCTTTTGAAGATGCAGGATATCATTTGAGTACGTTTGCAGTTGTACAGAGAGAGAGAGAGAGAGAGAGAGAGAGAGAGAGAGAGAGAGAGAGAACATTGTAGCTTTTTACAGGGAAAGACTGACCGCTAATGTATTTAATTTGCTGGAATCTGTGCAATGGAATGGAACTTACAGAGTAAAGGACACAGAGTACTGTTTCGCCTTGTGATGAGCTTCCTGTTTTCTGTTGTATAACAGTGATGGGCAAGTGGTACACCACATTCCTTGGGACGTGGTGTGTGGGTGTGTTTCTTGGTATACCCCTGGGGGTCAGAGGATAACTCACTTTCCACCATGTGGTTCCCGGTGGTGAATCTCAAGTTGTCAGGCTTGACATCAGGCTTGTTTCTGCTGAGCCGTCTGACTGCCTCCAGCTCCCTCATCCCTGCCCCTTTAAGTCAAAAATAGCTGTTCATGGTAGCACATTTCTGTTACCCCTGAACTCAAAAGGCAGAAGTTCCAACTGTGCAGAAAGGAAGAATAGTTTGCCGCCTGCTCTGTGTTAGGAAAGGCCTCTCTCTGTTAAGCACAACGCCCAAAATAAAACAAAAGCAAACAAAATAGTTATTACCACTAAACTGGCAAGTTTTGAGGGACTTTGATAAAGTTTCCTTAGTTTCTTTCATTTAGTTAGTTAATTTTAGAAAGTCACTACTTGATTTCCTAGTAGAAAGCCTGTTAAAAGTGGCAAAGATTTTATGTCATTATTTAGAATTCATTAGTATATTTGAGCTGTTGATCTTTTCTTCTTTCCTCCTGTTGGGCAACATTGTAGAATTTTCTGAAAAAACTGGAACAGTCTTTCATGTGTGTGTGCTGCCAAGAGCTGGTGTATCAGCCTGTCACAACAGAGTGCTTGCACAATGTCTGTAAGGTGAGTACAGTGTCACCTTCCCTTTCTAGACTGGCCACACAGTGGGTGCCACCAGTTTTAGTGTATGAGGAACCATGGGCCCTTTGCTAGTTAGAAAACTTCATTTACATCTTGATGGTAAATGCAATTTAAGATTACATAATAACAGTAATTCTCATACCTATTGTTAGATGTATTCTATTGTGCATGAGCTGAGGAAGGGTTGAGTGGAGACTAAGACACCACAGCGCCACTATTTTTTCTCTGTGATAGTTGGCAAGTGTTTTACACACTGTACTACAAACTGAAAGAGCTCCATGTATTTAATAAAATGTCCTTTCTGACAGGATGTTCAGGGAAATTGAGTATTGTGCTGTCTCTCAAGGCACTTGAAGAGGAAAATCAAGCTTTAGTTAAGACGGGCTTAAAAGCTTGCCGTACCACGTGTGGTGTTGTGTGCTGATCTAACTTTAACTTTAGTTTCCTTTGTGAGGTGGAAAAATCTTCTACGTACATATTCATGCCTAACCGTATGTCAGTAAGCTCTGGATTTAGTGCAACTGAACGCACTTCAGAGCACCTCTTATGTTTAATGATTTGATAGGATACTTTAATTCTGTGCAGCAGAATTCTTTCAAGATTAAATAAGGTTAAGGTAGTGGGAAGCATCCCTGGACTCTCACCTCACTAGCTGAGGAAATCAAAGCACAAGCTACTTGAGTCATTTACTGGAAGTCTCACAGTCTGTGTTAGTAAAGCTATGACTGTAGACAGTATGGTGCTGATTCAGGCCTTCAGAACTGTTCTCTTGGAATGAACAGAAAGTGTCTAGTTTTTATTAAAAACATTACTATTGAGTGGTTGTCCATATGATGGTAGCTGTTTTCCCCTCTTTTCTTGCTTTCTCCCCGTCTCCCTTCCTCCATCCCTTTCCCCTTCCCTTATGTGTATTTTCCTTTGTTTTTACCTTAGGATTGCTTACAGCGCTCCTTTAAGGCCCAGGTTTTCTCCTGCCCTGTTTGCCGGCATGATCTCGGCCAGAATTACGTCATGATTCTAAATGAGACTCTGCAGACTCTACTTGACCTGTTCTTCCCTGGCTACAGCAAAGGGCGGTGATCTGCGTGCTTCTGTGTTGTTCCGGTGGCTTTTGGACAATATCGAGTCTAAAATGAGTGGGGGTGGTTAAAGCAATGCTGGACCATGTCTCTCATTTGGAAGCAGCTGCTCCTCTTTCCCACAGCCATCCTCCTGTGTGTGTAGTAAGAGGCCCATTCTCCACTGTCTTTTAGATATCAAAAGGTAGTTCTTCTCAGTAACAACTCATAATGAAGAGTCAAAGCCTCCACTGTAGTTGATACCCAATTTATGATTTATTTTGCAACTACCTCAGGACAGAAAAGATTTATGGGGATTTTAAAAAAAATCATTGACTAATTAGTTAAATGAGATTTTAGCTACACACTGCCTCCCAAATATTAGTTGTGTCTGTTTCTTGTAATTTGCTTTTCCAGGAAAGAAGACAAATGAGATTGTTGGAATGAACACAGCTTCTGTAATATGCATAGTACTTTTTTAAATGTGTCTGTTTCCATCACAGTGTGTGTTTTACAAGAACAGGTTCACTTTTTAACTCATTTGTGATCTCCATTGTGGTTTTTTTCTGGTGTTTTATGCCAATTGACTACTAATGACTAATGAGAACAATATGAATGCGTTGTTGCTGCATTAGTGTAATGTGGTGTGGTTTCGCAATGACAGAGGCGTCTGAAGCTCTAGTTGTACATGTTCATGAAAGCCACTCCTGTCGTAGGCTGGCCGCTTTAGTAATTCTTACTAGTTTTCCATCTGCAGATTATGAGGGCTGTGCTGACTTTTGAGAAGATTGAAATTGCTTCACATTGTGATCCTAAATTTTATATTCACTATATTCCTTAAGAGTATTCCTTAATAAATATTTTATGATCAGACAATGGCACATTGAGCTTTACTTCTTTACATCCTTCTGGCTTGTTCTGTGGAGTTTCGTAAACCAGTTTTTGGCTTTCATTGTGTCTTACTGAAACATGTTTACTCTGATTTTGGTATGAAAGCTAGACTGAAGTCTGACACAGTAAGGACACATTTCACCTTTGGCTTAATTGTAAATGGGGATATTCTTCAAACGAACATCCTAACTTTTATGATACGCAACTACTAATTGAAGATTCTCATTTGTTTTTATTTATGAGTGTACATATACTCCGTGCGTGCACGCAGTGCCCACAGAGAGCCCCTGAAACTGGAGTCAAAGATGGTCCTCAGTCACCCGGTGTGTGGGTGCTGGGAAGTGAACAGCCTGTGCTCTGCCCTGCTGAGCCGTCTCCGTCCTTTGTTATATGCAGCTTTTCCTGAGTATTTTGAGTGCTACTTGATATTTCAGAAAGTAGATCAAATACACAGATTTATATACACATCTGTTGTTAATTTATTACTATTTATTATTGAATATTGTTATTTAATATTCAGTATGACTATTGAAAGTTTGTATTACTCCCTTTTTCTTTTTTGAGACAGGGTCTCACTATGAATCCCTGGTGAGCCTGGAGTTCACTAAGTAGATCAGTCTAACCTGGAACCCTTTGTTATCTGCCTGTCTCTGCCTCTTGCATGCTGGGACTTATATATTTTTATGTGGATTAACATAATCTTTCCAAGCATTAAGAGGCATGTATTATTAAACCCACCCTTGCTCCTGCAGTAGACTGGGGTAACTAAAGTCCAAATTTGTAACCTGTACTTTCTCCCGTGTAAGCTCTTACCTAAGGATAAACGGAAAACTCATTTTTGTTTCTTGATTTTACTATATTCAATTCAAAGTAAGATTCTGGGAAACAGTGCTGTGGTTAGTTATTAAACTTGCCAGTAGAAAGGAGTGATTTGTGTGTGTGTGTGTGTGTGTGTGTGTTTTCACATCAGTCATCAATCAAGGTTGCTTGCCTTCAGACGAATGGTGGGAGGACATTTTTTCAAGTGAGATTCCTTGTTCCAAAATGACTAGCCTGCTGTCCATTTTATTGGCAAATTGAATAGCCTGTCCATCTGTCTGTTATGAAGAGTATTTTTCCTCATTGTCTTTTGATCTAGATTTTTCTGTCGGGGAGGAGGTGCTTTAATATTCCTTGTAGTTTCTGTGTTGAGAAGCATGTTGACTTTACTATTACCCTGTCTTTATGCCAGACTTATAAAGAATGCCTGACCTGGCCCTGTGGCTGCTCAGAAAATGGGCATCAGTGTGGGGTAAAACTCTCAGTGCAACACCACTAGGGAAGGCTGTTTTCCTAAGGATGACTGACCACTTCTGGGCCTCTGCATCCCAAGCTGTTCTCCAGTTCAGGACTTCAGTTGTTTCATAAAAACACTCTGGGGGAAATTTCCCCAATGATCTTCCAAAACACATTGTGTAGGAAATAAAACTACCACACTCAGATGTACACATGTGCTTTTACTAGTGTGATGGAAGTTCAGTGCACAAGACTGAAGCCACCCTGGAGCTTTTCAGTCTGCTGGAAAAGCACGAGGCCTGTTAATGCACCCAGTTGATTCCTGTCATGCAGTTCCATTAAAAAGCTCTTTAAATGTGAAGAGTGTTTGCTTCCATGGAAAGACACCCCACCCCATCCAGGCTTCCTCTCTTCACCTGCCACCTTCATAGCATGCTGGCGACTTCCTGCCTTGTCTGCTCAGATCTCTTCCTGTTCCTGCCATTCTTTCTGTGTCCTTGGTCCAACCTTTATCCCTGTTGACCACAGCACAGCTTCCCTACTCTTAGAAATGGCCCTGGATTATTCCCACAAAAGGCAAGAGGTCAGAGGGGTCAAATATAGACCAAGGTGCTTATGACAACAGTGCTCTCTTCTGAATAAGGATGTGTGGGCTGGGGTGACGGCTCAACTGGTTAAGTTCGTGACAAGCGGCCTGAGGACCGGAGTACTCTAGAGCCAATGAAAAGGGCCATGATGGCAGCATGCACCTTAACCTGGGGAGGGGAGGAAACAAGTGGCTTATGGACTGACTGGCTAGCCTAACTTAACTGAATTGCTGAACTCCAAGTTAGGTGAGAAACCATCTCAAAAAATAAAGATGGAAAACCGTAAAGGAAAGATCCATGACATCTGCCTTTATCCTCCACATATGCGCAGACCCACACCCAGACCAACAAGTACAAACTAAAAATGTTGCAGGTTGTGAAAGCAGATCTTTTAGTTACGTTACAGGTTGAGCATGCACCAAAGGGCATACAGGATGGCACAAGATTTGGGGTATTAGTTATTATTCATTAGTGATTATAAATTTTATCTGGATCCTTTGCTACCCTGGCTTGTGCATATCAAATTAATCTTTGTAGTTCATATGGGTTAAACATGACACAGGCACTATTAGTGATGTGTGGAGCCAGGCAGGCAAGGTAAATGTTGATAGTCTTGTCTCTGTATGGTCGGTGTTACAGAATCTCATCAGCCGTGTGTGTCTGTGGTACCTTGGTATGAACCTCAGAAAGTAGTACATGTCTTTAGAAAATAAGGAAATGGGATTCTTAGTGGACCGATTGCTTTTTAAATAGACTTCAGTTTCTCAGGTTTGCAGAGCTCCCTGCAGGTGGCTCCCTGCCTTGCCCCCCAGTCCTGCTGCTTTTAATACTGTTAGTGATATGTTGATTCCAATGGAGGAACGAATACTGGTTCACTTTTCTCCCTAAAATCCATAGCAGTAAGGCCCATCCACTTTAGGTAAGTTCTGTCCAATGTTCATTTCAGTTTGCTCACTTAAGTTTGCATGTTTTGCTTTGTGGTGCTGGAGATTGGACCCAAGCCCTCATACATGCTGGGTAAAGGCTCTGGCACCGAGCTACATGCCCAATCCAACATCATCTTACATTTTAGAAGTTAATTTTTAACAGAAACAGAAAAGCAAGGCATCTTTGATGGGGAGTAAATTGAAATAATGTTTAACGGGTTTGTAGAAATATTCCCCTTAGCAACAATGAAGAGGAGGAGAGGGTTGGGTTACCTATCAAAACCACCACGGTATCAATTTTTTGTTTTTTTGTTTTTCGAGACAGGGTTTCTCTGTGGTTTTGGAGCCTGTCCTGGAACTAGCTCTTGTAGACCAGACTGGTCTCGAACTCACAGAGATCCGCCTGCCTCTGCCTCCCAAGTGCTGGGATTAAAGGCGTGCGCCACCACCGCCCGGCACCACGGTATCATTTTTAAAAACACCTCTTTTATTGGAAAACCTTTGCCAGTTCTTGGCAGCAGATCCTGCCACCTGCCACATTTTCTAAGCATACCTTTGTTTGAGTCATTAGAGAAATCTAATTCTAAAATAGATTTTTTTTTGCCCTCTCTGAGAGGTGGAAGAGTCTTCAGGGGACATGCTTCTGAAGATGCATGCGGTACCAGCTGGGAGACCCTTGAACAGGGACTAAGTGTGTGTATCAGGATCCTCAGGAGGAACAGAACAGAATCACGAAAAGGGATTTATTATACCAGCTTACACAGGCGGGGCTGGGTAGTCTCAACCATGGCTGTGCACTGCAGAGGCTAAGAACCCAGCAGCTGCCGGAGGCCTGGAGGGCTCCCAGAGAACCACTGGTCTTTAGTGCACCTCATGGAAGGCTGAACGAAGTGATGGATGGCGGCAGCCACAGCTACAGAGGTAGAATCACACGAAGGCGCAAAGATGAGAGCAGGCAGAGGAGGACTGCTTCACATCAGGGCTGCTGATCAAAGGTGATGGATGCCCTTACAAAGGCCTTGCTGGAAATGCCCTCAAAGGCAAGCGTCTAGTTAGCTGATTTCCAGATTCAGTCAAGATTAACATCACTAGTAATAAAGTGTGATGCGAAGCAGCCAACAAACTCAAACAGAAATTATTAACAAGAAAGAGGCACCAGGCAGGGAGGAAAAAAAATCACATGATCATAAATCTTAGGGTATTCTACGTCCTTAGCACTGAACAATTGGCCCTCCTCTATCCCCCTCCACCTGCCACTCAAAGTTTCTATGACAATCCTGGGACCGCTGTTACCAACTCTGCTCTCGGATCACTGTTCTCCAGATTGAGTTTTAAAATTGAAGGCCTTTTGACTTTCATTCCCCTGCTTCCTTAGCGGTGTACTCAGGTTTGGGCTGTTACATAGTGCCCTTCCAATTGCCTTATATGGTTGGAGATAGGAAAGCTGGTGGTGGTGGAGTTTCCTTGACGTGGTGCAGACAGGACAGCCTAGCAGATTCAAGTGCACAGAGAGTGTCGATACCCCATTTGGGAGCAGCAATGGATGCCTCAGCCAAGCATCTTTAGGGTATCTTCCTCAAGGACTGGGGGGTAGCTCAGAAGTAGAGGGCTTGCCCACAACGGACAAAGAATGCTTTAGCTAGATTCCCAGGACTCCCCTGGCCCGGTCCAACCCACCGCACAAACTGACAAGGCTGACAGAAGTCCTGCCTCGGAAGACCCATCTATTGAAGACATGCATTCTAGAAAGATCTCTACAGTATAAGGGGGGAAAAAAGTGAAATGCAGTCTTTTACCTAGAGGAGGAACATGCTATATTCAATGACAAAATAGTTCTTTGGCTGTGTAGGATACTTAAGTGGCCCTTTCTGGAGTGAGAAACAAGAAGTTTGGAAACTGGGATGTCCGCTCTTGGGGTGGTCTGCAGAGCACTGGGCTGCACACTGAATTGGGGACATTTCCAAGCATATGGAGTTCATTGTTTCCACGATGAGCCAGGGCCCTCCCTGGTCCTTGAGTCCTGTAAGATGGGGACTACGAGACAGATGAATGTCCAGTTCATAGGACACAGGCACAGACTGTTCTCAGACTCCTAGTCTAAAACTGCACAGAGACACATCTACACAACTTTGTACTTAATACAAATCTTGTATAGCTAAGAACAGCTGGAGGGTCAGACTTTAGGATATATGTTTTACAAAA